TGAATTCAAGTTGTAAACCTTTTCAAATTAACTTCAAGCATTAACTAGACAGTCTGTATGTTTCTCAGTTCAGCATGTAACAATTCACTGCCTCCCTCTTCACAAGTTCCGTGCCAGGAACACCAGCCTATTGACAGTTTCTGGCTTCAAAGTTGCCCTGTGGCATGTGACCACATTGCCCCCAGTGCTAAATGCTCTCTCAGAGGGTGAACTTGTGGCAGGGATGCATACGTATTTATGTGTCACTGTGGGAAGTTGGATGCATGAACTCGCCAACACTCCAAAGAATCAGCCTCACTGTCTGCTGCCATCATCAGAGTGTAGCTGTCCAGCTGTTGCTCGATGACCTGTCTCTGGGTTCTTAAGGCATATGCACTACTGGTTTTCTTAAAGATGCTCCCAAGGCTCTTTTTGGACTTCTTTGCTGATTGTGGCGCATTGGCAGCTTCTTTCTCTCTCTTACTCTGGTCCTCTTCAAGAGAGAAGTCTCCCACGGCTGTGTTCCCTACCAGGAGGGCTTCTGTCTCGGAGGCAGCTCTCACCTTCACCTCCACCAGCTTCTCAGTGGTCATGTAGGTGGTCTTGAACCTTGGGTCCAGAAAAGTAGCCATGGTGAGCAGCTCATCTGTTTCCGGGTTGGTGTATTTGTCATTCTGGTAATTGAGGACCCTCATCTTAATCTCTCGGATCAGTTTGGCTTTGCCCTCATTTGATTTTAACAAATGGCGGACCGGCTTCAGATAGGACACACTCACGTATGTCTCTCCTGACAGGGCATCTGTGAAATCCTGGAGGGGCTTAAGTGCTGCCGTGATAGATTCAAAGACCTCAATGTCTTGCCAGGAGGGTGCAAGGTGCTGTGTTTTTTTGTCTGCTGCCAGGTCTTGTGTGATGGCCTTTACCTGCTCCAGGACTCTTTCCATCATCTGCAGTCGAGATCCCCACCTTGTCGGGGATTCCGTGATTAGCTTTTGGAGGGGCAGGCTCAGTTTATCCTGTACACTTGTCAGGGCCTTCTGCTTCTTCCAACTATAGGAAAATGTGCTGACCACTTTCTAGCACACTCCTGTGGCCCGGGAAACCCAAGGTTCGTTTTGGACACTCCTCTCTGAAAAATAAAAAGGTGAAAAATAATTACATATGAATCACAATTATTCAATAGAAATAACATTGCATCTGCTGTAATTACAACAATTTACAGAATGGACACTGGACATGATTACAAATGTAATCCATCTATAGATTTACAAACAACTGTTGTGATTAAGAAAGCTATGTTGCTTTAGAAAAATGGAGTTTCTCCCTAATGAAGTGCGGTTAGGGTATATTAACTACAGAGTTAGAGCATTTATCCCAAGAACAATGCATTGTGAACATTGTAAAGCTTTTGGTCATGTAGAAAGTGTTTGCAGAAGGGAGAAGCCGAGATGTACAAGATGTGGAAAAGATAATATGTGTTATAAAAGTGAAGGAAATGTGGCATGTTGTAATTGCGGTGGGAATCATGAAGCCACATCTTCTGAATGCCCCACAAGGGTAAAAGAGAATGAGGTGGCCAAAGTCAGGGTTGTACAGAGCATTTCATATGCAGAAGCTGTGAAAAGGGTTGAGGGTTTGAATGTTGCACCAGAAGAGTCCATGATAGTGGATAGGCCTTCACTGCAGGCTGCAGTGATTATTGGCACTGCCAAGGTGGAGAAAAGATCTAGGAAGATTGAAATCATTGTGATTGCGGCAGAGTGGTTCCTGGGGCTGAAAGATTTCACAGCAAAGGAGTTACATGGAATATTAGTGAAAGTCGTACTACCTTCTCAGATCCTAGAGCCCGAGAAGGGAGATATGGAGAACTAAAAGAAGGAAGAAGTGGGAGTTTTGTTTGTTTTGGCAATGTACTATTTTTATTAGGGTGGATTGTTAGAATCACTAAGTATGAATTTATTTATTTATTAAAATTTTGGTTTCAAAACGTTGGTGGCGGCAATACAACTTTTGGATGTAGTCCGCCATAAAACCCACAGAAGAGGAAGAAGAATGCAGCGTTACGGATATCGTTGGCAACTCTGTCCCGACATTCTGTGTAGTTCTGGCAGACGTTTTGCTGAAGTATTTACGGCTCGGGATCTCGTATATTGGGTCTAGAGTTCGAATCAACTTTCTGAAACAGTCTTTCGCCACAGTTTGAACTGGTTCCGTGTCTTTCACTATGTGATACGTAATTGCACTCGTTATCTCATTCCACTTCTTGCGCTTCTTGTCATAGTGAGTACCACTAACGAATGATGCCTTGAGTGATAGCTGAGTGCTGGTCTGGCTTGAAGATGTCTTGGGACTTGCTCTGCTGCTCCGGGGGTTTGTTGCACGCGTTCTGGTAGATTGTTCAGACTCACGCACATGTAGGGTTTTCAGGTGGTGAAAAAGATTGCTGGTGTTTCCACCTTTGGCTAGCACAATGCGTCGACACAACTTACACAGTACTGTTTGTTGGTCGAGGTCGGATATCTTAAAGCCAAACCAGTTCCAAACGACAGAGGAGGCCCCCTTTTTTTCGAACCAATTCTTCGTCGTCCTGCAAATCAACCTCAATAGCGTTATTTTCCTTGTCTTCAGTCATCCTCAATGCTTGATTTTTGGACACTTTTGCTAACGAAAGGAGTTTACTTCACTCTCTAAATGTTTGCTTACTCTGCAGTTGCGCATGCTTGTTTGTTGACTTTGACTGGCAGGCAGATTGAGTGTAACGTCCATGCTTCTAGTTTTTTTCTTTGCTAAAAAAAGGCTATGTTTTTAGTAAAATAAACAATTTGAACTAGCCCACTAGGATGTATCACTCAACAGACATTTTGAACGAAACAAAAACACCTTATTTCAAACATTTAATGTATCATGATATGCACGATATGGCACAATGTCATACCGGTATTCACATTCATACCGGTATACCGCCCACCTCTATCTCCTTTATGGAAGATTGTACACAATCATTTTACTGTACAACTGTTCACAAAGTTTACTTTCGATTCAAGGTTACATAATCCAGGGGTGTACAGTGCCTTGCAAAAGTATTCATCCCCCTTGGCGTTTGTCCTATTTTGTTGCATTACAACCTGTAATTTAAATGGATTTTTATTTTGATTTCATGTAATGGACATACACATAATTGTCCAAATTGGTGAAGTGAAATAACAAAAAGAACTTGTTAAAAAAAATTATACAAAATAAATAAAGGAAAAGTGGTGCGTGCATATGTATTCACCCCCTTTGCTATGAAGCCCCTAAATAAGATCTGGTGCAACCAATTACCTTCAGAAGTCACAATTAGTTAGATTCCACACAGGTGGACTTTATTTAAGTGTCACATGATCTGTCACATGATCTCAGTATATATACATGTTCTGAAAGTCTGCAACACTACTAAGCAAGGGGCACCACCAAGCAAGCAGCACCATGAAGACCAAGGAGCTCTCCAAACAGGTCAGGGACAAAGTTGTGGAGAAGTACAGATCAGGGTTGGGTTATAAAAAAATATCTGAAACTTTGAACATCCCACGGAGCACCATTAAATCCATGATTTAAAAAAATTGAAACAATATGGCACCACAACAAACCTGCCAAGAGAGGGCCGCCCACCAAAACCCACGGACCAGGCAATGAGGGCATTAATCAGAGAGGTAACAAAGAGACCAAAGATAACCCTGAAGGAGCTGCAAAGCTCCACAGCAGAGATTGGAGTATCTGTCCATAGGACCACTTTAAGCCGTACACTCCACAGAGCTGGGGTTTACGGAAGAGTGGCCAGAAAAAAAGCCATTGCTTAAAGAAAAAAATAAGCAAACATGTTTGGTGTTCGCCAAAAGGCATGTGGGAGACTCCCCAAACATATGGAAGAAGGTACTCTGGTCAGATGAGACTAAAATTGAGCTTTTTGGCCATCAAGGAAAACCCTATGTCTGGCGCAAGCCCAACACCTCTCATCACCCCAAGAACACCACCCCCACAGTGAAGCATGGTGGTGGCAGCATCATGCTGTGGGCAGGGACTAAAAAACGTCAGGGACTGAAAAACTGGTCAGAATTGAAGGAATGATGGATGGCACCTGTTTGTCTTCCAGAGATTTGAGACTGGGACGGAGGTTCACCTTCCAGCAGGACAATGACCCTGAGCATACTGCTAAAGCAACACTCGAGTGGTTTAAGGGGAAACATTTAAATGTCTTGGAATGGCCTAGTCAAAGCCCAGACCTCAATCCAATTGAGAATATGTGGTATGACTTAAAGATTGCTGTACACCAGCGGAACCCATCCAACTTGAAGGAGCTGGAGCAGTTTTGCCTTGAAGAATAGGCAAAAATCCCAGTGGCTAGATGTGCCAAGCTTATAGAGACATACCCCAAGAGACATGCAGCTGTAATTGCTGCAAAAGGTGGCTCTACAAAGTATTGACTTTGGGGGATGGTGAATAGTTATACACGCTCAAGTTTTCTGTTTTTTTTGTCTTATTTCTTGTTTGTTTCACACCAAAACATTTTTTGCATCGTCAAAGTGGTAAACATGTTGTGTAAATCAAATGATACAAACCACCCCAAAAACATGTTTTATTCCAGGTTGTAAGGCAACAAAATAGGAAAAATGCCAAGGGGGGGTGAATACTTTCGCAAGCCACTGTATTCATTAGTGCCCACTAGCAAAACATTTAGCAACATAACTTTTTGAAACTAAAACAAGTGTTTCTTCAGTATCAAAATGACCTTTATTTACCAAGTACATTTACAGCAATATACAAACAGAATACAGACACACGTCAACATAGTCACCATACAGAATAGGACTTATTGGACAAGTTGTGATTAGTCCCTCCCTGTTTCAGCCTGTTTGCTTTTGTTTGGTTCCTAGTGAATACACCACTTTTTAACAAACCAAGAAAGGTGCACTGCACTCCAAAGCTACTCGCTTCAATTGATACTTCTAGTAAGCTAATAGGGCCTATCTGTTTTCCCAACAGTCATGGCAGACTGCCCCCACACTATTGGAGTCGAGTTTGGCACGAGGATAATCGAGGTGAGCGGACAGAAGATCAAACTGCAGATCTGGGACACTGCGGGACAGGAGCGCTTCAGGGCCGTCACACGCAGCTACTACAGGGGTGCAGCAGGGGCACTCATGGTCTACGACATCACCAGGTAGGCCAGGACCTCAGCTCGGCCTTACTTGGAGTGACTATCAGGGCCGGCACCAGAACGAATCAGTTGGACGGGCATTTGATTTCCGCCCAAAAAAATTACGCTAGAACTGCTCGGCTTCGAGGGACCCCCCTTCAAGCTAATGAGCTGTCATTCTGACTGCAACATTCTAACAGTGTTATGAATACATTTCATATATGCTATCGCAAATATAATCATTTGGTTGTGTTTATGAAGGTCTTAGGTAACATTAGAATATGATTATATATTTTTCAAATAAAACAAAAGCATTTGAATTAGTTTGTTACTTTTGGTCATGTAGTGTATATCCAACAGTATGCGGACACCTGCTTGTCGAACATCTCATTCCAAAATCATGGGCATTAAAATGGAGTTGGTCCCCCCTTTGCTGCTATAACAGCCTCCACTCTTCTGGGAAGGCTTTCCACTAGATGTTGGAACATTGCTGCAGGGACTTGCTTCCATTCAGCCACGAGCATTAGTGAGGTCGAGCACTGATGTTGGGCCATTAGGCTTGGATCGCAGTCATCGTTCAAATTCATCCCTAAGGTGTTTGATGGAGTTCAGGTCAGGCCTCTTTGCAGGCCAGTCAAGTTCTTCCACACCGATCGCGACAAACCATTTCTGTATGGACCTTGCTTTGTGCACGTGGGCATTGTCATTCTGAAACAGCAAAAGAAGGGCCTTCCCCAAACTGTTGCCACAAAGTTGGAAGCACAGAATCGTCTAGAACAGGGTTTGGCAAACCTGGTCCCGGAGTGCTGCTAGCACTTCATGGTTTTGATTTAACCTGACCTGGAAGACCAGGTGTGTTGAATTTAGGCAATCATTGAACTGATCAATTAGCTCAGTTGGTCAGGTGTGGTGCCTAGTTGGAACAAAATCCTGCAGTACCTGCGGCACTCCAGGAACAGGGTTGCCTACCCCTGGTCTAGAATGTCATTGTATGCTGTAGCGTTAAGATTTCCCTTCACTGGAACTAAGGGGCCTATTCCGAACCATGAAAAACAGCCCCAGACCATTATTCCTCCACCAAACTTTATAGTTGGCACTATGCATTCGGACAGGTAGCGTTCTCCTGGCATCCGCCAATCCCAGATACGTCTGTTGGACTGCCAGATGGTGAAGCGTGATTCATCACTCCAGAGAATGTGTTTCCACTGCTCAAGAGTCCAATGGCAGCGAGCTTTACACCACTCCAGGTGACGCTTGGCATTGCGCATGGTGATCTTAGGCTTGTGTGCAGCTGCTTGGCCATGGAAACCTATTTCATGAAGCTCCCGACGAACAGTTATTTTGCTGCCGTTGCTTCCATAGGCAGTTTGGAACTCGGTAGTGGGTGTTGCAACCGAAGACAGACATTTTTACGCGCTTCAGCACTTGGCCTCTCCCGTTCTGTTAGCTTGTGTGGCCTACCACTTCGCGGCTGAGCCATTTTTTGCTCCTAGACGTTTCCACTTCACAATAACAGCACTTACAGATGACTGGGGCAGCTCTAGCAGGGCAGAAATTCGACAAACATGACTTGTTGGAAAGGTGGCATCCTATGATGGTGCCACGTTGAAAATCACTGAGCTCTTCAGTAAGGCCATTCTACTGCCAGTGTTTGTCTATGGACATTGCTTGGCTGTGTGCTCGATTTTATACACTTGTTAGCAACGGGTGTGGCTAAAATAGCCGAATCCACTAATTTGAAGGGGTGTCCACATACTTTTGTGTATATATAGTGTATTAAAAACAAACAAAAAACACTAAACACCAAAATTCAAGTGTTCATTACAATTTATCCGTGGAGTGCCTTTGTTACAACTATAAAACAGAAAGTGTATGTGTTGGAACGCGGTAACAGCTTATTTTTATAATGATAAAATACCCCAACCACGACGCACGGTCAGCAAGATATCCGGTCAAATTATGAAAACATCAGTAGCCTAAACATCATTATAAGCCCCAAGTGTGCTTGATAAATAGTGAAAATCAGCACAAAAAGCAACAATGGCATTATATACTTTCAGAAAGTATTCATAGCCCTTGACGACTTATTTTTCTCACCCATCTACACACAATACCTCATAATGACAAAGTGAAAACATGTTTTAGAAATGTCAGCAGATTTATTGATAATGATGTACAAAAAGATCATATTTACATAAGTATTCACACCCCTGAGTCAATACTTTGTAGAAGCAGCTTTGGCGTCGAATACAGCTTTGATTTGTCTTGGGTATGTCTGTATCAGCTTTGCACATCTGGATTTGGGGATTTTCACCCATTCTTCCTTGCAGATTTTCTCAAGCTCTGTTAAGTTAGAAGTGGAGTGGCAGTGAACAGCAATCTTCAAGTCTTTCCACAGATTTTCAATGGAATTCAAGTCTGGGCTTTGGCTGGGCCACACAAGGACTTTCACGTTCTTGTTCTGAAGCCATTCCATTGTTGCTTTGGCTGTATGTTTGGGGTCATTGTCCTGTTGAAATGTAAATATTCACCCCCAGTCTAAGGTCGTTTGTACCCTGAAGCAAGTTCTCATCAAGGATTTGCCTGTATTTGGCTCCATTCATTGTACCCTCTATCCTTATCAGTCTCCCAGTCCCTGCTGCTGAAAACCATCCCCATAGCATGATGCCGCCACCACCATGCTTCATGGCAGGGATGGTGTTAGATGGGTAATGAGCTGTGCCTGGTTTTCTCCAGACATAGCACTTTGCATTCAGGCCACATTTTTTGTCTCATCAGACCACAGAATATTTTCCCTTATGCTCTGAGACTTTCACGTGCCTATTGAATAGAAGTTTGAGTTCCTCCCTTCTAAACTCCCCTGTGGTATTGTGCTCCATACGGTCAAAAGCTAGTTTAATTTAAGAAGACCACGAGTGAAATGACCATCTAGTTTTTCAGATGCAAATAGCACTTTTAGGTAGAGCTCAAAGCATGCCATTCCAAGAGCAGCAAAAACAACAGATTAGTCTAATTAGTCCTTAGTTTTTGGGTTACACTCAGGTAAAACAATTTGGCTAATCTGTAATTCCAGATTTCCAAATCCTATTCTTGAAGATCAAGGGGTATTAAATTAATTGGAATGACTGGAAATCTGACTGTAAAAAAAAAAAGAAAATGATAATGTATGTAAAGATATAGCCTAATCATATATTATCTGTAGTAGAAAGCAACGGGTTAGAAGAAGCCTACATAACCAACCCATAAAGTAAAATCATCAATTTATGGCCAGCTATGTAAACTCTAACAGATTAATCATACAATAGATGTTGTTCAATTGGTAATATTCATTTTCGTCATCTTCTAATGCCTGTTAAGCAGGTTGATGTTTATTGGGATGAGTCTTATCCTTGAGGCAGAACTGAGCGATTTCTGTTACAGTGGGGAGAACAAGTATTTGATACACTGCCGATTTTGCAGGTTTTCCTACTTAAAAAGCATGTATTTTTATCATAGGTACACTTCAACTGTGAGAGACGGAATCTAAAACAAAAATCCAGAAAATCACATTGTATGATTTTTAAGTAATTCATTTGCATTTTATTGCATGACATAAGTATTTGATCACCTACCAACCAGTAAGAATTCCGGCTCTCACAAACCTGTTCGTTTTTCTTTAAGAAGCCCTCCTGTTCTCCACTCATTACCTGTATTAACTGCACCTGTTTGAACTCGTTACCTGTATAAAAGACACCTGTCCACACACTCAATCAAACAGACTCCAACCTCTCCACAATGGACCAAGACCAGAGAGCTGTGTAAGGACATCAGGGATAAAATTGTAGACCTGCACAAGGCTGGGATGGGCTACAGGACAATAGGCAAGCAGCTTGGTGATAAGGCAACAACTGTTGGCACAATTATTAGAAAATGGAAGAAGTTCAAGATGACGGTCAATCACCCTCGGTCTGGGGCTCCATGCAAGATCTCACCTCGTGGGGCATCAATGATCATGAGGAAGGTGAGGGATCAGCCCAGAACTACACGGCAGGACCTGGTCAATGACCTGAAGAGAGCTTGGTCCACAGTCTCAAAGAAAACCATTAGTAACACACTACGCCGTCATGGATTAAAATCCTGCAGCGCACGCAAGGTCCCCCTGCTCAAGCCAGCGCATGTCCAGGCCCGTCTGAAGTTTGCCAATGACCAACTGGATGATCCAGAGGAGGAATGGGAGAAGGTCATGTGGTCTGATGAGACAAAAATAGAGCTTTTTGGTCTAAACTCCACTCGCCGTGTTTGGAGGAAGAAGGATGAGTACAACCCCAAGAACACCATCCCAACCGTGAAGCATGGAGGTGGAAACATCATTATTTGGGGATGCTTTTCTGCAAAGGGGACAGGACGACTGCACCGTATTGTGGGGAGGATGGATGGGGCCATGTATCGCGAGATCTTGGCCAACAACCTCATTCCCTCAGTAAGAGCATTGAAGATGGGTCGTGGCTGGGTCTTCCAGCATGACAACGACCCGAAACACACAGCCAGGGCAACTAAGGAGTGGCTCTGTAAGAGGCATCTCAAGGTCCTGGAGTGGCCTAGCCAGTCTCCAGACCTGAACCCAATAGAAAATCTTTGGAGGGAGCTGAAAGTCCGTATTGCCCAGTGACAGCCCGAAACCTGAAGGATCTGGAGGAGGTCTGTATGGAGGAGTGGGCCAAAATCCCTTCTGCATTGTGTGCAAACCTGGTCAAGACCTACAGGAAATGTATGATCTCTGTAATTGCAAACAAAGGTTTCTGTACCAAATATTAAGTTCTGCTTTTCTGATGTATCAAATACTTATGTCATGCAATAAAATGCAAATGAATTACTTAAAAATCATACAATGTGATTTTCTGGATTTTTCTCACAGTTGAAGTGTACCTATGATAAAAATTACAGACCTCTACATGCTTTGTAAGTAGGAAAACCTGCAATATCGGCATTGAATCAAATACTTGTTCTCCCCACTGTAGGTGGGCAGCTGCAAAGTGGAAATTGGTTATGTTGTAAAAATGTATGAAAACAAAGATTTTCGTTTCTTTTTGTTCTTAATTTAGGGTTAGCAGTGTGGTTAATTTCAGGTTTAAAATCCGATTTTATGACTTTGTGGCTGTGCCAGCTACTAACCTGCACCTCTTAAGGGGAAAGTAATCTTAAGTTTGTGTAATCAAAAAGTTAAGTTACTAATTACAATTGGAGAGGTAATTAGTAGCTGTAATGGATTACGTTTAGAAAGTAACCTACCCAACCCTGCTCAAGACTATATTCTGGTTTAGGAGGAGAATGTCTATGGAATAGTTTATGGAAACAGTGTTCCTCAAGTACTACAAGAAGAAGTGGCAGAGGTGGTTTAACTTAACAGAAGCCCATGTTGGTGTCTGTGGCGATGCCTACGCACTTGCCCTTCAGCACAGGCGTCATGACCCCCAGCACGGCCTGTCTCTTCTCTCCACTTCTCCTGCTGTAGGACGCAGAGAAGGTGAAGAAGGTAGTACGTGCAAGAGGGTGTTGTGGATGATAACAGACAACGGAAATGCTCAGAGACCCATGCCAGCTGTGCCACTGACATGAGGTGTGTCACAAATGCACTTGCTGGCTAGGCTACCTAGACCTTTTCATTCCAAATTATTGACTAAAATGAACCAAAATAGTGATGGCATATACAGTGCATTCGAAAAGTATTCAGACCCCTTCCCCTTTTCCACATTTTGTTACATTACAGCCTTATTCTAAAATGGATTTAATAAAAAATGTTTCCTCATCAATCTACACACAATACCCCATAACAACAACGCAAAAACTGTTTTTTAGAAATGTTTGCTAATTTAGGAAATATAAAAAACAGAACTTATTTGCATAAGTATTCAGACCCTTTGCTATGAGACTTGAAATTGAGCTCCGGTGCATCCTGTTTCTATTGATCATCCTTGAGATGTTTCTACAACTTGATTGGAGGCCACCTGTGGTATATTCAATTGATTGGATATGATTTGGAAAGGCACACACCTGTCTATATAAGGTCCCACAGTTGACAGTGCATGTCAGAGCAAAAACCAAGCCATGAGGTCAAAGGAATTGTCCGTAGAGCTCAGAGACAGGATTGTGTCGAGGCACAGATCTGGGGAATTTTCTGCAGCATTGAAGGTCCCCAAGAACACAGTGGCCTCTATCATTCTTAAATGGAAGAAATTTGGAACCACCAAGACTCTTCCTAGAGCTGGCCGCCCGGCCAAACTGAGCAATCGGGGGAGAAGGGCCTTGGTCAGGGAGGTGACCAAGAACCCGATGGTCACTCTGACAGAGCTCCAGAATTCCTCTGTGGAGATGGTTGTCCTTCTGGAAGGTTCTCCCATTTCTGCAGCACTCCACCAATCAGGCCTTTATGGTAGGGTGGCCAGATGGAAGACACTACTCAATAAAAGGCACATGACAGCCCGCTTGGAGTTTGCCAAAAGGCACGTAAAGGACTCTGACCATGAGAAACAAGATTCTCTGTTCTGATGAAACCAAGAATGAACTCTTTGGCCTGAATGTCAAGCGTCACGTCTGGAGGAAACCTCGCACTATTCCTATGGTGAAGCATGGTGGTGGCAGCATAATGCTGTGGGGGTGTTTTTCAGCGGCAGGGACTGGGAGACTAGTCAGGATTGAGTGAAAGATTAACAGAGCAAAGTACATAGATCATTGATGAAAACCTGCTCTAGAGCGCTCAGGACCTCAGACTGGGGCAAAGGTTCACCTTCCAACAAGACAATGACCCTAAGCACACAGCCAAGACTATGCAGGAGTTGCTTCGGGACAAGTCTCTGTATATCCTTGGGTGGCCCAGCCAGAGCCCGGACTTAGACTTGAACCCGATCGAACATCTCTGGAGAGTCCTGAAAATAGCTGCGCAGCAACGCTCCCCATCCAACCTGACAGAGCTTGAGAGGATCTGCTGAGAAGAATGGGAGAATGGGAGAAACTCCCCAAATACAGGTGTGCCAAGTTTGTAGCGTCATACCCAATAAGACTCAAGGCTGTAATCGCAGCCAAAGGGGCTTCAACAAAGTACTGAGTAAAGTACTGAGTAAAGGGTCTGAATACTTATGTAAATGTGATTTAAAAAAATATATATATATAAATAAATTTGCAAAATATTCTAAAAACCTGTGTTTGATTTGTCATTATGGGGTACTGTGTGTAGATTGATGAGGGGGAAAAAACAATTCAATCAATTTTAGAATCAGGCTGTAATGTAACGAAATGTGGAAAAGGTCAAGGGGTATGAATACTTTGCGAATGCCCTGTATACTGTGTGAATAACTTTTTACTTACTTACAGGTGCATACTAGATGATGCACCCTACATAAAGCAAGCTCAGCCCTATTTGTTATATTGTCTAGTTGGGTTTTTCTATAAACTAGGGTACCATTGAGGATTTCTTACGCTGGACAACTTGTTACATATTGTGGCGGGCAAGGCGCATGCACGCTGACTTCGGTCGCCAGTTGTACTGTGTTTCCTCCGTCACATTGGTGCGGCTGGCTTCCGAGTTAAGAGAGTCGTGTGTCAAGAAGCAGTGCGGCTTGGCAGGGTCGTGTTTCAGAGGATGCATGGCTCTCGACCTTCACCTCTCCCGAGTCCGTACGGGAGTTGCAGCTATGGGACAAGACTGTAACTACCAATTGGAAATCACGAAATTGGGGAGAAAAAGGGGTTTAAATAAATAAATAAATGCGGTGTTATTATGTTATGTGGTGAAAACAGTTTTCATGGGCACACATTTCCCCCCCAAATTATGCAATTGCTAAATCGAATGCTTCTAACCGAAAGAGTCACCTGACCTTGATACTTAAAATCTAAATTGATACTGCCGTTAATGTGGTTCTTCAGTAATTTTGTATGTTACTTGTTGGATGCACATTTTGGTTTTGAGCTGTTTAATTATGCAGTGATAATTTCACACATCATCATCTGATCCAGGAAGGACTTTTCTAAATGACAGTCAAGTTATGAACAGCTGTTGTGGTAGCGCATGCAATGCTGCAACAGCCCAAGTGCTGGAGAAAAAGTGTTTGCGAGGAATGTCCAGAATATTTTGGTGTCTCATTCATTATGCCGGTGAAGACAGTTGTGACTGGATCGACAATTGGATCTAATATCTCCAGCGAATTGATGTTTATCATCTGTTGTAGTCTGCTTGATTTACAGCAGGGTGTCGTTCGATTTACAAGAGAAAGCATATTGAGTTCATGTTTTTGTGCCTCAGATTGGACACCCTGATAGACTATTGCACAACACCCAACACAATTCTTATACATTTTTCTGGATATAATGACAACAAATTATATAGCCTAGTGGGCTTCTTCACAATATCATCTGGTAATGAAATAACATCACAAATATATTTACGTTTCCATGTTACACCTGCAATTTAAACAAGACAAGGGGTTTGAAGTAGCCTATTTGAACTTGCTGGCTTCAACTTGGCTTTCCATACAAATCCTTACATTACAAAAAATTACCTGGTTTTTGGTTGCTTTCTCGTTATAAAAACAGACATGGTGAGATAAATGCTACCGCTATTCATGGCTTTATTATGTGTGCTTGTGTCGGCCACATAAGCTACAGAAAAATCGCCATGCATGCTTCCAATTTATTTAGTCAGGCAAGTCCACATTATTCTCACATTTTATAATAATAATTAGAAAATCAATGCATTGGCAAGGCCTAAAAACACCTTAGTTGGCTGGCTTTCTATGGGCTGAACAATGCTAGCTAACGTTAGCGATGCTAGCTAAGTTAGTTGCTACTTACTAACCACAAGATTGTAACATTTAACAGGGTGCAGTTGTCTAATGATTTGATTTGATTAACATGTCACTTGTGTTAGTGCCCTATTCATGATGTTAGCGGCAAACGATGTCCAAACTCCAAAGGTTTGTGCTAGCTACTGTGTGTTTGGTTATCCTGGAAGCGGAAGGACTGGGCCGGTCCTATGTAAACCAATAGATCATGATTTGTTCGATTCGAAACGGAGAGATCCAACCAGCATAGGGTGCAGCCTTGAAGTCTGAGGGCACAGCCCCTTCATTATCGACACTTTGTGCCAACACATCAAAGCATCCTTTACAGCAGGGTTCCCCAACTGGCAGTCCGAAGGCCAAATGGGGTTTTATTTGACCCCCCAAGTTTTCTGAACAACTTGTAATTTTCATTGTTGGCCATAAAATACTGTAAAAACACCAGGAAATCAGCTCCAAGTGATTTTAATTTAAGTTATCAATTCCCAAGTATTCCCACGCATAATAGATTATAGTAAAGACATTTCATTTAACTGGAAAGATGTATCACCTTTTAATATGGCATGAACACAACCAGTCATGATGTTTAATTCTGGTTGTGAAATAAATCACTTAAAAAATTAGGTTACCTTCGCACGTTCGTCCAAATATATTCCAGCATCCGAACAGTGCACTTTGCACCCACCAACTTTCCTTTAATTCGCAAGTGGCTGAAACTACTGTCTCACCGGAGAAGCATCCGAGCGAGCGAAACAGCGCCCCTCTGTCGTACCATATGTACACTACATGACCAAAAGTATGTGGACACCTGCTCGTCGAACATCTCATTCAAAAATCATGGCCATTAATATGGAGTTGGTCCCCCCCTTTGCTGCTATAACAGCCTCCACTCTTCTGTGTAGGCTTTCCACTAGATGTTGGAACATTGCTGCGGGGATTTGATCCATTCAGCCACGAGCGTTAGTGAGGTCGAGCACTGATGGGCGAATAGGCCTGGCTCGCAGTCGGTGTTCCAATTCATCCCAAAGGTGTTCAATGGGGTTGTCAGGGCTCTGTGCAGGCCAGTCAAGTTCTTCTCCACCGATCTCGAAAAACCATTTCTGTATGGACCTCACTTTCTGCACGGGGGCATTGTCATGCGGAAACAGGAAAGGGCCTTCCCCAAACTGTTGCCACAAAGTTGGAAGCACAGAATCGCCTAGAATGTCATTGTATGCTGTAGCGTTAAGATTTCCCTTCACTGGAACTAAGGAGGCTGAACCATAAAAAACAGCCCCAGACCATTATTCCTCCTACACCAAACTCTACAGTTGGCACTATGCATTGGGGCAGGTAGCGTTCTCCTGGCATCCGCCAAACCCAGATTTGTCCATCGGACTGCCAGATGGTGAAGCGTGATTCATCACTCCAGAGAACGCGTTTCCACTGCTCCAGAGTCCAATGGAGCTTTACTCCAGCCGACGCTTGGCATTGTGCATGGTGATCTTAGGCTTGTGTGCGGCTGCTTGGCCATGGAAACCCATTTCATTAAGCTCCCAACGAACAGTTATTGTGCTGACGTTGCTTCCAAAGGCAGTTTGGAACTCGGTAGTGAGTGTTGCAACCGAGGACAGACGATTTTTACGGGCTACGCACTTCAGCACTCGGCGGTCCCGTTCTGTGAGCTTGTGTGGCCTATCGCTTCGCAGCTGAGCCGTTGTTGCAACTAGATGTTTCCAGTTCACAATAAGAGCACTTACAGTTGACCTGGGCAGCTCTAGCAGGGCAGAAATCTGACGAACTGACTTGTTGGAAAGGTGGCGTCCTATGACTGTGCCACGTTGAAAGTCACTGAGCTCTTCAGTAAGGCCATTATGACATGCCATACTCTTTTTGTCCAGACAGCATCAGATACATGGGCCACACGCACTGAGACAGATGGGCTCTGTTTCGCCGGCTCGGATGATTTATCTGAGATTGATGCGTCTTCCTGTCGGCTCTCAAATAAATTATCAATATTGAAATATCTGAAAGATTTTATTTGGACGGCCAATGAGGTATGATGGTAGGGCGGACCAGGCCCCCTAAGGCCCGCCCATAACGCCGGCCCTGGCGACTATTAGTTTGAGTATAAATCTGGCCTCTGGGTTTCGGTAAACCAGCCCATAAGATGCCCAGCATTCGAGTGTTGAGAATTAGCATGGATTCAGTAACCCCATTTAACCTGTTGTCCAAATGCCATTGTCTTGTATTCACAATTACTATGTTATCTGATGTTATATATGTCTTTGTACATTTGAACTGAAATTCTCTTATTGTTATGGTTCCAAATGTTCTCTTGTCCTTTCCTGTAGGAGAAGCACATACAACCACCTTAGCAGCTGGCTGACTGATGCTAGAAACCTCACCAACCCTAATACCGTGAGTCAGCCAGCTGGAAATCTGAACTCCTGATCAGACTGTGGGATGTCTTTACAAGACAGTTGTATGTTTTTATGCTGCCATGACAACCCTGGCCTGTGTACTATCTCCCCAGGTGATCATTCTTATTGGTAACAAGGCAGACTTGGAGGCCCAGCGAGATGTAACCTATGAGGAGGCTAAGCAGTTTGCTGAGGAGAACGGTACGTTTTATCACAGCATCATGGGAAATCACAAAGTTTGAACAATCACTTTCTATTTGCAAACAACTTTTCTTATCAACCTAATTCAGTATTTTGTTTTTTTGCAGGTCTATTGTTCCTAGAGGCTAGTGCAAAGACGTAAGTTAACACACCCAAATGTTTTCACTTGCATCAAAGAGTACATTGAAGTTGTGGGGGGACTAGTCAGTCCATTGTGCCTGAGTCTGTTGTTTTCCTGTAACCCAGGGGTGAGAATGTGGAGGACGCGTTCCTGGAGGCAGCCAAGAAGATCTACCAGAACATTCAGGACGGAAGCCTGGACCTGAACGCCGCCGAGTCTGGTGTCCAGCACAAGCCCTCCGCCCCGCAGGGCGGCCGGCTGACCAGTGAACCGCAGCCCCAGAAGGAAGGCTGCAGCTGCTAATGACCCCACCCGCTGACCCTCCAGCTGACCTCTGCCCCCTGTGCCACAGCCTCCCTCCACCACCCAGGAGCCCACCTGCCTCCACCAAGGCCCTGTCAGTCTGGGCCCCAGAAGGCTCTGAGCCAGGGATGGGCTTTACACCACACCCAGCCATCCACATCCATCTCCCCCCCTCATCTCTCTCTTTCTCTCTCTCTGTGTCTCTCTGTCTCCCCGTATCTATCTCCCACAGCTATGCTGTATGGACCCATGGCCTACACAACCCAGTGCACCCAGCACTTATGATGAGATGAGCAAGCCTCATAGGTCACACATTGTGATTAGAACACTGCAACAGAGAAATAGGCCTTGGTGGCTGGCTGGCTGCTCTACTGAAGAAAAAGGCTTTTTCTATCCACAGCAGAAACCATGATGTGCATAACTATAAATGGAATGATTCATCACTGTTGTGGTGTTTTGAATGTAGTACTATTTTAATTCAAATTAAATTATTACATTTATATATTCTATGGAAAGAGTTTCTGCAAAATACTCAGCAAACAGGCACAGATATCAAAGATAATGGATGCATGTGTATAACCATTATCCATATTGTTCATTCTTTTTAAACGTTTCCGGAGGTTATATCGGTCTTGGAATACATTGGATTGACTTTTTGTTTGATATAATTAATACCAAATATTTGTTCTTTTTTACCCATTTATTTTGTGAACATTAGTGGGAAACGATGGGTACAATATAATGTAGAATATGAGCGTGTGAAAGACCAAATTGTCCATTTTCTTAGGTGCCTCAATGAGAGATCTGACCGAACACTCGGGCATGAAGTCCAGGAGAAATCTTTGCACTTTTTTGTGATGTGTAGCGTTGCTGGTCTGGAGGCCGTTTCAGTGGAGATGGCCTCCAGCAGGGGTGTATTCACTAGAAACCATATGGAAGCAAACAGGGAGGGACTAACCTGAAATTGTCCAATAAGAAAAGCTTGTTTCCGTTGCAAAATATTTTCCTTTGCAAAACGTTTTGCATATGTTTTGCGTATGTGCACTAATTAATACACCCCAGCAGTAGAGGTTCTGACCAGTGAGACGTCTCAGGTGCCCACTCCAGCTGTGACTCAAACGGGAGTATTGTATGTGGATCTCTGGTGGCTGTGAAAATGTGTCATCCTGCTCAGCCCGTGGCTTTCTATCAGAGGGATAATTTGTAAGTCGCTCTGGATAAGAGTGTCTGCTAAATGACGTAAATGTAAATGTAATATCTCTCCTATGTCACCTGGGGCACTTTAGTAGGACTTAGCTGGTGAACCGAGGTGAGGTGGTTCAGCAATGCACCTCTGGCCCTTTGGTTGATGTAATCTCAGGCACTTCATCTCCCTGCTTGCATCCCAAATTGCACCCATGGGGCTCTGGTCAAAAGTACTGCACTACATAGGTAATATGGGGGCATTTGGGATGCAACCCCTCACTGTGATTGTTTTTGCCTAATTTAGTGTTAACTTGTCACGCAGACTAATGTAGAACACCTTTCTGTAAATTCAATAGGCTACTATATTAGATTCAGAACTATATTTTGATATATTTTACAGCCTCGCTTCAGATCATATACATGGAGTGTACAAAACATTAGGAACACCTTAATATTGAGTTGCACCCCCTCTTGCCCTCAGAACAGCCTCAATTCGTCGGGGCATGGAATCTACAAGGTGTCGAAAGCATTCCACAAGGATGCTAGCCCATTGACTCCAATGCTTCCCACAGTTGTTAAGTTGGCTGGATGTCCTTTGGTTGGTGGACCATTCTTGAAACACAAGGGAAACTGTTGAGCATGAAAAACCTAGCAGCTTTGCGTTTCTTGACACCTACTACCATACCCTGTTCAACGGCACTAAAATATTTCGTCTTTTTTGGCTGGTTTGTTCCAATTCTAATAACACCAGATTCATTCCCTTCTTCTAATGGAGCATCCAGGAGCTCTAGCTGAGCCATGTAATGAGAGCAGTTTATCTTAGCTACTCACCTAAAGCAGTTCCTGTCCCTTTCTTCATGTCTTAGCAGGGGTGTATTCCAGAGGAGGCTGGTGTGAGGCACTATAGGAGGACAAGCTCATTTTAATGGCTGGAATGGTATAAATGGGGACGGAGTCAAAAAGTTGATTCCATGTGATTGATGTGTTATGATTCAATTCCAGCCATTACAATGAGCCCGTCCTCCTATAGCTCCTCCCACCAGCTTCCTCTGGTGTATACACTAGGAACCAAATGAAAGTAAATGACTGAAACGGGGAGGGACCTACCTGAATTTGTCCAATAACAAACCCTCGTTGTTGTTGCAAAATGTTTTCTAATGCAAAACGTTTTGCACTAATGAATACACCTCAGAGGACAGGAAAGCTCATTCCTCAACAATGATCTTCACATTGGGATGACTGCATGTGGTGCATTCTGTAGAGAGATTATATTTCCCATGTTTTGGGAAATATATTTTTCTTACTAATCTTTCGTTGAAGTCATTCCAGACGTACTTTTCGATTTACCTTGACATCACTGATGTACGTGATTTCTTAGTCGGAGAGATGTCGAGCTATGATTCTGAAGGACTTGACTCATTCCGATTTCCCACAGAGGCGTTAATGTGTTATGTTGAATCTGTATTTGCTTGTGCTGTATTTCAGGGCCCAGTATCGCGACGCAGCAATGGTGTTATCTTGAAAATGGGCTTAGACGATACAACTGTAATGCAATTTCTTAAAGCTCGATGCACTGTAAAAAGACTGGTCCAGTCCGCCTTTCACTCAAGTTTTTTGGTGGCATGAAGAGACTGGCTGATATAAGTTGTGGTGCTTTTCCCCAAACGGTCTCCTCGGAAGTGTTGAGAAGGATTTAAATTGGTCTCATTAAATTTAGCTCCATCACATTCTCTCCTCTACAAAAAACAATGTAGGCCTAGTCTCGTATTCACAAAGCATCTGAGTGGGAGAGCTGATCTAGGATCAGGTCCCCCCTGTCCATGTAGTCTTATTCATTATGATGTAAAAGGCTAAACTAATCCTGGATCAGCACTCTTACTCTGATAGGCTTGATACATATGGGCCCTGGTCAAAAATCTTAAGTGTTGGAATTGGTTCACTGATGGCAAGCCATTTCTGTTTGTAATGATTTTCTTGGACTAATGTTACATTTTTGGCTTGAGCAAATGTCAAATTGAGATCGCATAATGTACAGTCATTATTTAATGACTTTATTTAGATAACCATTATTGTACATTCTTTATACTATTGTGAATCTAAACACTGATGCTCTTGACCAGATCAGATTATAAAAAGTTTCTCTGTGTAATAATACTGGCTTCGAAGGACCACCTCTTTTAACCATGGTAAATATTTGTGGATACACAACTATTAAATCACAGTTTGGTGCTTTCCCTAATTTGATTTTGTTCTGAGAGCAGCTCTGCATTAAGGGTGATCTTGTGTGGCAACTAGGGATGTGCATCTTTCCCTTTCAAGATGATTCGGTACGTATCTATACTGAACAAAAATATAAATGCAACATGTAAAGTGTTGGTTTCATGAGCTGAAATAAAAGATCATAGGAATGTTCCATACGCACAAAAAGCTTATTTCTCTCAAATGTTGTGCACAAATTTGTTTACATCCCCGTTAGTGAGCTTTTCTTATTTGCCAAGACAATCCAGCCACCTGACAGGTGTGGCATATCCAGAAGCTGATTAAACAGCATGATCATTACACAGGTGCACCTTGTGCTGGGGACAATAAAAGGCCACTACAATGCCACAGATGTCTCAAGTTTTGAGGGAGTGTGCAATTGGCATGCTGAGTCCAGGAATGTCCACCAGAGCTGTTGCCAGAGAATTGAATGTTCATTTCTCCACCATAAGCCGCCTCCAAGGTCGTTTTAGAGAATTTGGCAGAACATCCAACCGGCCTCACAACCTCAGACTCCACATCCAGCTTCTTCTCCTGCGGGATCGTCTGAGACCAGCCAGCCGGTCAGCTGATGAAACCGAGGAGTATTTCTGTCTGTAATAAAGCCCTTTTGTGGGGGAAAACTCATTTTGATTGGCTGGGCCTGGCTCCCCAGTGGGTGGGTCTATGCCCTCCCAGACCCACCCATGGCTGCGCCCCTGCCCAGTCATGTAAAATCCATAGATTAGGGCCTAATGAATTTGACTGATTTCCTTATATGAACTGTAACTCAGTAAAATTGTTGCATGTTGCGTTTATATTTTTGTTCAGTATAGATACATGGGCTCCGATGCGATACAGGAACGATATGTTTTAGTTTGAAACGATTCGGGTTGATTAGAGAACGAACCGATGCGATACGATGCACTAACATTTGTTGTATAAATACATTAATTTTCCATTCTAAATTAAAATCTGCTGCTGACAGAGCTCATGAGCTTGGGCCTCTGAGCTGGATCCGTCTGAGCTGACTTTTGTGTGTGTAAATTGTGTAGGGACTATGTAGGCACCTGAGAGAGACCAAGCATCTACCACCTCTACCACTATCAGATTAGGTGGTGTGGGTGGGGCAATGTAGCCGGTTTTTCTGTCTCCCCACTTTGGTTCTGAAATCACCATCACCCATAAATACATTTGTCATATTTGCAGATTAAGTGTTTGAGCTAGTAATGTATCAATATTTATCGTTTACAAATTAGCTATGACACAGCCAATGGATATATAGCACAACTTTGAATTTCACCCCCATCTCAAAATCCAATGGTTTTGACCATTTGGAAGTTTTTATGGAGAGAACTTTTCCATGCAGTGCGCCTCGCAAAAGTGATTGCTCATTATGAAATTATCAACTTTACCCTGTATATCTAAAAAAATGACCATATACACTGATTTGTTAAAAGGAAAAACTACCAAACTATTGCTGATGGTGAACCTGAACAATCAAAATAAAATATATTGTAGGCAGTAGCTGTGCATGGGTAAAATCACCGGGGAAGCCAAGTATGTTGTTTGCTCTA